GCTCGTGTGGCCCGACCTCACCGAGCTGCCGCGGGCCGGGGCCGCCCTCGTTGGCCACCGTCCGCCAGCGCCGCGCCCCGCTCGGGCACCGCCGGTCCGTCATGGGCACCGCAGTTTACCCGGTTCTCGAGGACTTCCAGCCTCTGCCACCTCCGGATGGAATGAGGCTTCCTTTCTTGTTTTTTTTTTTTTTTTTTTAATTTTTTTTTGAGACAGGGTCTCTCCGTGTAGCTCTTGGGCAGGCCTTGAACTCACTATGCAGGCCAAGCTGGCCTTGAACTTGGGTGATCCTCCTGCCCCAGCCTCCGAGGGCCGAACAGATCTTCCCCTCAGGCATGTCCCAGATTTTAGCGCGGGGATCGTCTGCCTCTTTCCCTCCTCAGGCGGTCAAATTGGTGTAAGAGGAACTCACCTGTCTTCCTCCCCGCAGGGTCCTGCTGTGGTTCTTGATTTTTCCGGGAGGCGCCTGGCCAGTTTTCTAAGTGTAGGCAGCCCCTACCTGGTTATTTTGAACTTGTCAAGGATGAATCGCTCCGTCTTCTAGTTCAGAGCCCCATTTTATGTAGGAGGAAACTGAGGCTCAAAGAGGTAACCGGTGGGAACTGGGCATGGTGGCACACACCTGTAATCCAAGCATTCCGGGAGGCTGAGGCAGGAGGATCCCTCTGAGTTAAGCGATCAGCGTGGGCTATTAGCAAAACCCTGTCTCCAAAAAACCAAACCAAACAAACAAAGAAGCCCTAATGGGCCTTTCCTAAGGCTTCAGGACCATCTCTGCCTGTGGCTCTTTCTGTTTTTCTCTTCACCCCTCACCCTTTGTTTTTTTGCATTCTTACAGGGGAGGGCTGGTCAGCCTGACTCTTGAGAAACACTGCCTAGGGGTCAGAGCGGAACCCCCTTTGATCCCTGTTCCCCCAGCACGGGCAAGACCTGGGCAATAAGAAAGCAAGTAGAAGCCAGGCATTGGGGCACATGCCTGTATTCCCAACATCTGGGAGGCTGAGGTCGGAGGATCTCAAGTTCTAGCCTAGTTGGGACAACTTACCAATTTACTGTGTTCCTGTCACAACAAAAAAACAAAGAAAGGCTGGGGAAGTAGCTCAGCGTGAAGGCCCTGGGCTCAGCCCCCGGTACAGCAAAACAAGAGGGAGGGGCGAGTAGGGACAGTTACCTGAGGCTCCAAAGATGGGGGACAGGGTGCTGCTCCTGCAGTTAATGTCACAGAGTGCTGTTATTTTTGCAGTCGCGGTTAGAGCTTAGAGCTGCGGCTCAGTGGAGGTGCTGAGTGTTAACACTGAGTGTGCAGGGTGGGTTGATGGGAGGATTCCAGTCCGACTGTAAATGGGGGGTCAGTTGCAGGGGTGGGTTCTGTCAGAGAAGAGCTTGAGGTGAGCTCTTGGTGGTGGTGATTTTGTTTTGTTTTTTTTGAGCCAGGGTCTCGCCGTGTAGCACACCCTGGCCTTAAACTCTTAAGTGACCCTCCTGCCTCAGCTTCCTGAGTGCTGGGATTGTAGGCAAACTAGGTGGCTGTGATTATTGACCTTGGTCCTGTTGCTTGTTTGTAGGTCAGGATCAGAGACTGCATCAGCTCCAAGGGCTTGGAGTCCCCTCTGCAGCCGCCCTCACCCTGAGCAGCACTGTGAATCTGAGCCCCAAGTTCAAACCTAAGACAAAGGTGATTTTCCAAAGTAACTTCCAGGAGACCTTGGCCTGCATCTGGATGACCATGGCAGCCTATGCACCTAGTAGGGCTTTGATTTCTCAGGTGTCACCCAAGCTTTCCAGTGGTGGCCAGCCTTCCTTGAGTGTTCAATGAGGCCCTGACCCTGACAATCAATGTTATCTCTCCTGTCCTGGCCCAGTGGTAATAAGGTGCCTGCCTGAAGGCAGGGGTGTTGTCTTTTCTGTCTTTGAATCCCAGTGCCTAGCAGAAGTAGCTCAGGACAGGATGTTGATTGATGGAAAAGCTAAGGTTCCCATGGGGGGAAAAAAAAATCATGTGAGGAGTGTTTTTTATACTAACATGTCAATGACTTCCTTCTCTCCTCCCAATGTGGGAGAGAGTGGAACACAGGAACCTGAGTGGAAAAAGAACACAGGATTAAGAAACAACAGAAGTGGGGCTGGGGATTTAGCTCAGCGGCACAGTGCCTGCCTGGCAAGCGCGAGATCCTGAGTTCGATTCCCCATACCGGAAAAAAAAAAAAAAAAAAAAAACAGAAGCCCAGACTGGTGTCTGAGCAGGCTGAAGGTTTCTGCCTGATCTCTGAGCTCCCTACTGCACCTCCCACCCAGCCGCCAGCACCCCTGCCTGCCCCACTGGGCGGGCCAGGGCCTTTGCTGATGTGGAAACTCAGCCTCAGTGGCTGAAATCAATCCAGGCTGGGCCGGAATTCAGGATCCTTCTGGCTCAGCCTCCCTCCCAGAGTACAGGATTGCACACACTTGCTCCACCAAGCTGCTTCTGTTTAATTTCAAAAACAGCTTGGTTTCAGCTGGGTGTGGCAGCACACCCCTGTGATCCCAGCACTTGCACTGGAGAGGCTGAGGCAGGAGGATCCTCCAGAGTTCAAGGGCAGCTAAGCTACATAGTGAGTTGAAGTCCAGCCTCCACTAATAGTGCGACACTGTTTCAAAACAACAACAACAAAAAAGGTGGCTTGGTTTGAATGTATCCCCCAAACCTCCAATGTTGGCACCGGAGTCCCCAAATTCATATGTTAATGGTGCTGGGGGGTTGTGGCCACAGGTTCGTCCCAGACGTGTGCCTGCGTTTCTAGCCCCTAGAGCTGAGAGCTGAATGGAACTATTCTTCAGAAATTACCTCGGCTCAGAATTTTTTGTTGTTAAAACAACAGAAAATGAACTAAGCAGGAAATTAGGTGAGTTGGAAATCTGTTTTTCTTTTTTTGTTGTTTTGGTGTTGCTTTGGGGGGACCAGGTCACCCTATATAGTGTAGGCTGGCCTTGAACTCACCCAGGCTAGTTTTGAATTTGAGATCCTCCTCCTGCCTCTCAGCCTCTTGAGCTCTGAGATTTTTTTTTTTTTGACAGAGTCTTGCTTTGCAGTTCAGGCTGTTCTTGCACTCACCATGGAGCCCAGGCTGGCCTCAGACTTGAGAAGATCCTTCTGCCTCAGCCTCCAGAGCGCTGGGATTACAAGTGTGGGCCACCACGTCCAGCCTTACACTGAGATTACACAGGCCTGTGCTGCTACATCTGACTTGGAGATTTTCTTCCTAAGGAAAACAAAACTAAGCAAATTTTTTTTTTTTTTGGTCTTTTTGAGACAGAGTCTCACTATGCAGTTCAGGCTGGCCTTGAGCTCACTTTGTAGCCCAGGCTGACCTCAAATTCGCAATAATCCTCTTGCCTCAGCCTCCCCAGTCAAATATCTTTTCATGTGGAACCTTCAGCAATCTTTTCCTATCCTCTAAAGAGCCTGTTTTTTTTTTTTTTTCTAAAGCCTGTTTTGTTGTTATATTGTTTTGTAATGGGTTTTAAGTTCTGGCACTGATGACACAGCACTTGCTAAGCTCTGACTGGTGTTGAGTCCCTCGCAGGAAGCAGAGGTCGCGAGCCGCTCTCCAGCTGGTTGCTCCTCCGACCCAGCCCTGCCACAGCCGGACAGAAGCCTACAGCGCTGCTTGGTTGGGCCGTGGCCCTGCTGGGTGGTGTCTGGGAAGGCCAAGGGGCCGAGCAGAGGGATGCTTACGCTGTGCCCGCGTCCAGCAAGGTCAGGGGTCTGCAGCCTCCTGGGGCGAAGTGACATGGACCGAGGGACAGTGAGCGGGCTCTGCCTGTGCCACAGAAAGTGGCAGTGTGGCCTTTGTACCTTGGACACTGAACCCCCTGAAGAAAAGGGGGGTACACTCACCACTAAGGCCTTGGGGACCTAGCCAGCCAGTAGGGGGAGGGGCCGCTCATCAGACCGCGGGGCTTCCACTTGGGATAAATGTTAGGGCACCACAGATGACACAGTGTGGCTTTTTGCGGGGGAGCGGCGGGGGGAGGTGTTGACACTGTGTTGCTGTGTAGTTCAGGCCGGCCTTGAACTCATGGCGATCCTCCTGCTTCAGCCTCTCCTGAGTCCTGGGATTACAGGCATGTGTCACCAAACACAGCTGAACGGTAATACTTTTTTTTTTTTTTTTTTTTTGGTTTTTCTCCGGTACCAGGAACCGAACTCAGGACCTTGCGCTTGCCAGGCAGGCGCTTTTGCCGCTGAGCTAAATCCCCAGCCCCCGGGACGGTAATACTTTAAAATGGTATATACAGTTCTACAAATCTTCACGTTCTACAAATTTTCCCTCAATTTGGAAAAAAGAATATTGGATATTAACTCTTCCCCACCCTGGGCCCTGTCTACCAGCAATTGGAACAGGTTCCAGAGGTGTCCTTGGTATTTATAGACATTTGTGTGTATAATTTCTATATGGGCGGTAGCATCCTCATGAGTAGCGTAGACAATATAGTGAGTTTCAGGCCAAACTGAACTACATCAGGACCCTGTCTCCAAAAAAGAAAAAAAGGGGAAAAGTCAAGCATGACTGGCTGTGTTCCAGTAAAACTTTATTTATAAAACCAGGCTGTGGATCGAGGAGTGCCCAAGAGAACACTTAAATTGTGCCGGTGACAGCTGCAGGAGCCTCCGTGGGTGGGCGCCTCTCTAGTGAGAGGTGGACACAAGCACGGTCCTTCGGCTCATTGGTTCTTGGACCCGCTGGAGACCTACTGGGTCAGCGTCCTCGCTCAAAATCTGCACACCCCAGACGCTGGGGCGGTGAGCGCCGCTGGGGACGGGGCCTAAACCCTGAGCACCTCCCCCACCGGTGGCCCCCAAGGCTCCTCCCCCTCTGCAACCCGGTGGAATGCCCAGCCGGAAGGAGCTGGAGCCCGGGGCGCCCCAGAGTCAGTGTTTGCATCCTGGGACAATGGCTGGTGGGCCGGTCACCCACTGGCCCCGGAAACAGCCAGTGGGCTCGGGAACTTCTGCCCCAAGGGAGAGCTGATCCGCTTTGCCTGGGAGGAGCCTGCAGAAGGAACCCCAGCCCCAGCTGGCTCCCTGCTGCTACCCGGTCCGGCACCTGCATCAGCAAAGGTGTGTCGAACGCACGCTCTAGGAGGCAGAGCAGGAGCGTCGCGGATTCGAGCCCACCCTGGGCAACTTGGGGATTTAGTGAGACAGTCTCCAAAGGGGGCAGGGGTGGCAGTGTAGCTTGCAGTTCAACCCTCAGTACCAAAAGAGGGGTAGGACCGCGGGAGTTGGGTTAGAGTCACTCCTCCCGAGGTATTTATGGGACGCCCGCTGTCCCCTGAGGGCTCCAGTGGACCTGGTGAGTGACGAGCTGCTCTGAGCACAGCGAAAGGTCTGGGAACCGAGTGCCCGAGGCCTGGTTTGGCTGGAGCGTTGGGAGCAGAGAGGAACCCTCGAGCAAGGCCAAGGGGGAAGAGGGCGGGGCGGGGCGGCCTCTGTGGCCTGGCAGGTGTCAGGAATCCGGCAGCCAGGTGAGAAGGCGGCCGGAGCCTCAGGAGGGAGAGGCGGGGAAGACCGAGGGGGCCGTGCTGGTGTGTGCTCCGGGAAGAAGCAGCCTTGGAGTGTCTGGCTCGAGAGGTATTAGCATGAGAAAGGTGCGGGCACCCTGGGAGACGCCTGCTTAACAAAGCTCCACCTGCTGCCGCTGCCCCTAGTTACCTCGGTTTAAAACTGCTGGAGGGAGTCTGGCCGACCGGCCTCCACCTCGTTTAGTGCCTGAGGCTCGGGATTCGGTCCCGCACGCAGGTTGGGGTTATTATCTCTCTGCCAAAGAGGAAGCTGCAGTTTAGAGAGGTTTAGAAACCTTCCTCAGATCAAAGAGTAAAAAAGGTGGGGAGACCAAGGTGCCCCTGACCTCAGCTCCTTGCTGTTATCCTTCACCGTGTATGAAGCAATCAGGATTAGTCAGGCGGGGTGGCACACTCCTATAATCTCTGAGGCGGGAGGATCTCAAAGGCCAACCTGGGCAATACACTGTCTCAAAAAAAAAATTTAAAAGGTGTCGGGGAAGCTGCACATGGGGGCGCATGCCTGTAATCCCAGCACTCGGGAGGCTGAGGCAAGAGGATCATTGTGAGTTTTATAGCCCAGACCAGCCTGGGCTACAAAGTGAGCTGAAGGCCAGCCTGAACTGCATAGTGAGACCCTGTCTTAAAAAGACACACACACAAAAAGTGTCAGGGGAGATCTGAGATGTAGCTCAGTACTTCCTGGGTTTGATCCCCAGGACCAAAAGAAAAAGAGAGGAATCAGGATTAAAGTTTAGGATTTTACAACATGAAATCCACAGTTGCCCACCTCTGTGTACTGCCCAGGCATCCAGCTGTCTCGGAGTTGCTGTCATCCTCCAACGCCGGACCAGGAGAAGGCGGGCTCTCAGGCTGTGGGCTTGGTGACTTGGGGGTGCAGCTCGTAGATCCTGGCAGGCTTACAGTTCATTTGTGACCAGACACACTTGGATGCACAGCTTGACAGCCATATGACTTCGAGGAGTAAGTCAGCTGTCTCAGCCTTGGTCTCCCTGATCACAATATGAGGATGATAGTATCCAACCCATTTTGGTTGCTTTATTTTTGTTCAGTAGTGGAGACAATCCAGGGCCTTCCCACTCAGCTATGTGCACAGCCCTTTTTATTTTTTATTTCGAGACAGGGTTTCTCCCTAAGTCCCTAAATTGCTCAGACTGGACTTG